CCGTTTCCCTTTCCTTTTCCGCGCGATGTTTGTTAATTGCACCTCCAACCAATTAGAGCCTTTCTTTTGAAGGAATCCCTCCCCCCCTTCCCACCCTCCCATTCTGCTTTTTAACTGGATCAGTGTGTGCTTCTGTCTCCCCCCTTCCCCCAAATTCCTCTTGCATGTTACTTTAGCGCTACCCTCTCGAATTTCTCCCTCCCCCAAATTACTTTGTTCTCATGACTTCTTTCTTTCTTTTCTTCTTGTTTCCCTTTGCCAAGATTTCAATTGCATACACGGAACTGAAAAAAATTAAAAAGGTTTGAAAGCTATTTTGAATTATGTATAGTTGTATGCCGCTGTATTGTCACTATAGTAGCTGTCTATTATTGCACTTATGACAATAAAGTCATGGTTGAAATTTAGGATTAAGGTGTTGGAATTGAGGACTTTTAGTAGTAGATTTTTAAATTAATGGATCCTTTTACCAAGTCAATCCACAATTCCATATTGAATGATGATAGTCTTCTAGAAAATTTAAGAAAAAAAAGCCTCAATTAATCACCGTATTGGTAACTCAAAAACTCCATTGAAAGATGGAAGCAAGAAGAAACCTCTTGTCCAACTTGTTTTTTTTTTTTTTGGAACAAATTGGATGTTGTTGTAGATACTTCTATAAAAGCATATACATATGTTGTCTAATGTATTTAAGCTGTATATAACTTCATAGGATTTATTTGTGCAAAGTTTGTATATGAATGATTTTTAAATGCAGAGTTTGGATATGGAAATGGAAGTGCTTTGTGATCTTGAGGTTAGAGCACTGGTTGGACACGAAAATACAGTATGGGGAGTTGGAGATTAAAAGAAATCAAAGGTGAGAAACAATCAGAAAGTTCAATGGTTGAGGTGCAAAGCTAACCAAGACAAGTACGGAATCCTAATTTTTGTGAATTGAGTTTTAGCGCCCCATGTTCTGAATTAAGTTGACTTCAGTCCTTAATATGTTGCAACTTTTGTACATTTGATCCTTATTTTCTGCACTTGATAATTCAATCACTCAAACGTTGAACTAGGGGCTGCTGATTTGTCATTTTAGAAGTAGGTTTACTATACAATTAAAAATGTCATGATATAGCAACATTTATGAAACACGAGAGACCAAAAAAAGAAAAAAAAAACAGAGAGAGAGAGAACATAAGGGACTAGTTTTGTACTGTTCAAATTTTCTGGGGGCTTTCACAAGGTTCGATATTTAAACTATGGAGAGAAAAGTATAATGAAAACAAATCATGAATGACCAAATTCATTAAACATATAGACTAAGGGCGAACGCCCGGTATCCATGTCGGACGTGGTCGTCCTCCGCGTGGCGGCTGGGGATTCGTTTGATGGTGACATGGAACGAATACATTGGTAGGCAACTGTTGTAGATGCACCAGATCATTCCTCCCGTTGTGTGCATGCTTTTGTTTCTTTAGTTTTCCCCCCCATTGTTTTCTTCTTTTCTTTCTGCTCAGTGGGCGCCTGGCTGAGCTCGTCGATCACCTCTCTGCCATTTCGTCAGTCTCCTCTGTACTGACTCCACCCATTCTAAGCTTTTCCTCCTTGTGCACTCTTCTTTGCACTCCAAGTTTTACCTCCTTCTGCACTCAATTTCACCCTCCTCTCTGCTGTTGTGTTTCCTCTGCATTTTCACCCTCACCTTGCTGTTCACTTTATGCCCTTACACACCTTCCACCTTCTAAGACCCGTCTTTCATTGGTCCTGTTTGCCTGCATCCGTTAGGTTTGCCCCATCAGCCGCCTCTCTGCTCGCTGAGCCAGCTCATCTCTACCGGCTCCATCTTCCTTCTGTCCTTCTTTTTCTTTCTCCCTCGACCACAGATTCCCTTTTCTTTCATGCAGCTCCAAAATTTAGCTTCCGTTAAGCTCCAAAATTTATCTTCTGTGCCCCGTATGTTATAAAATTTCCTCTTTTTTCCCCCACTTCGCTTCTCCTCTTTTTATTTTTTTCTCACTACATTGCTTTGTCCGGCTGCATCGCCTCAGCCTTTATTGTTCCGATCTGTCCTCTTACACACCTTCTCCTCCTGCTGTCTCGTCCTGCCTGCTGACGGATTAGGTTGCTGCAATGATGACCGATGTAGCTGCTTCTCCTTACCTCTCCCCACGATTAGGCATTTGTTCTTCCGTTCGTGTTTTCCTACTGCTGCTCCTTCTCCCTCCTTCCCATTTCGCTGCGCCAGGTAACCTCTCCTCCTCTTTTTTTCACCTGCTTTTATCGCCTTTTCCGTTTCCCTTTCCTTTTCCGCGCAATGTTTGTTAATTGCACCTCCAACCAATTAGAGCCTCTCTTTTGAAGGAATCCTTCCCCCTCTTCCCACCCCCCCTTCTGCTTTTTAACTGGATCAGTGTGTGCTTCTGTCTCCCCCCTCCTCCCAAATTCCTCTTGCATGTTACTTTAGCGCTACCCCCTCGAATTTCTCCCCCAAATTACTTTGTTCTCATGACTTCTTTCTTTCTTTTCTTCTTGTTTCCCTTTAGCAAGATTTCAATTGCATACACGAAACTGAAAAAAATTAAAAAGGTTTGAAAGCTATTTTGAATTATGTATAGTTGTATGCCGCTGTATTGTCACTATAGTAGCTGTCTATTATTGCACTTATGACAATAAAGTCATGGTTGAAATTTAGGATTAAGGTGTTGGAATTGAGGACTTTTAGTAGTAGATTTTTAAATTAATGGATCCTTTTACCAAGTCAATCCACAATTCCATATTGAATGATGATAGTCATCTAGAAAATTTAAGAAAAAAAAAGCCTCAATTAATCACTGTATTGGTAACTCAAAAGCTCCATTGAAAGATGGAAGCAAGAAGAAAGCTCTTGTCCAACTTGTTTTTTTTTTTTTTGGAACAAATTGGATGTTGTTGTATATACTTCTGTAATTTTTAATTATTTGGTTTACCAACAATTCATGTTAGTTTTGATAAAACATGTTCCAAGGAAAACAAAAATTTACTTGGGACACCCACATAATTAGGAATAGATATCTCTTTTCATTTTTATTAACCGGTAAGGGAAAGACATTATGTTGATCTCCAATGAAGATGAAGATCACTTACAAAGTGATAGAGACGAAGATATTGATGACAATCAGTTCATCCAAATGATTTCAAAGAAAGCCAAAAAAAGAAAGCCGTACTCAGAAAATGGCAAAAAAAAAACCAAAAAAAAAACAAATGCGATAAGATTTCAAGCTAAAAATTAAAACCTTTTCATGGTATCACAAATGTGCAGTTTGTTGAGATCAATTAAAAGTTCATAAAATTTTTATTGAGTCAAAATTAAGAGGCATCTCCACTTTATCATATTCTCTTTGAAATTTTTTAATAAACAAGTTGTGATTTATGCCTAACTCTCTACTATTTGTAGGTGGTTTTTTATTTTAAAAAAATGAGGAAAAGAAATAGTATTAGATCTGACAGAATTGTGATCATGTTTTCATTAACTTTTAATTCGAAAATGCGTGTGTGTTAAATTTTGATATGGAATAAAAATAGAATGAGATATATACAAGCAAATGTTCTATTTGGTACACACAAGACATGAAAAGAAAACCTCAAGAGAAGTAAAGAAAAATACTATGTTCTTAATGTGGCAGAACCTTGCTGGTCTCGCCAACAACTTTTTGGAACCTATATTTGCCCTATTAAGAAGTTGTAGCCATGATTCTTCTATTGGTGTGTGTGTGTATATATATATATATATATCAAATATAAATCCTATTACAAATTTCATACCTTTCTATTTTGAAAATTTTTGACATTTAATGTGATGATATGCTGTGCACATGAAACGCAATTTAAATAAACAAGTCGTGATTTATGCCTAACTCTCTACTATTTGTGGGTGGTTTTTTATTTTAAAAAAAATGAGGAAAAGAAATAGTATTAGATCTGACAGAATTGTGATCATGTTTTCATTAGCTTTTAATTCGAAAATGCGTGTGCATTAAATTTTGATATGGAATAAAAATAGAATGAGATATATACAAGCAAATGTTCTATTTGGTACACACAAGACATGAAAAGAAAACCTCAAGAGAAGTAAAGAAAAATATTGTGTTCTTAATGTGGCAGAACCCTGCTGGTCTCGCCAACAACTTTTTGGAACCTATATTTGCCCTATTAAGAAGTTGTAGCCATGATTCTTCTATTGGTGTGTGTGTGTGTATATATATATATCCAATATAAAACCTATTACAAATTTCATACCTTTCCATTTTGAAAATTTTTAACATTTAATGTGATGATTTGCTGTGCACATGAAACGCAATTTATTCACAACCCAATGTGCTTATGTTTTTAGATTATGCATTAGTTTCATATATAATTTTTGGTTTTACATTTCCTTGTTTATAAGGAGTAATCTTCTCTTCTTTGCTAAATAGTATGTGCAATTCCTATAGCAGAGAGAATCTTGTCTTGTCCAATATTTCATTCCTCATTTAATCATTTTTCGGCTATTTTTTGGTATATCATATGTTCCTTTTCTTCCTTTTGGACTACTTTGTTTTTTCTTTGGTGGTTTTTGAGGGGTTTCACTTTCAAATCAAAGAAAAAAAAATGTTAGCAGTCTTCCTTTTGGTTTGTGCAGGCCCGTTTCAGCTGCTTCATCTAGCTTGTTCTTTTGCTTATGCCTGCCTGTTGCTTCAGGTAATTTCCTTTCTGCTTGGTTTTGCATCACCCTGTTGTGGTTTTTTTATTTATTCTTATTCTTGTTGTTATGGCTTACTTCTCTATTTGCCCTAACCTCTCCCCCTCTCTCTCTTACTGCTTAGCTTGCTCCGTTCCATTACATGCTATATTTGCTTTCTTTTTACACGCTTAACTTGCAATGTGTCTTCTTCGGCTTCATTGTGTGCGACTTTATACTGCCTTTTGTGTCTTTCCTTTCAAAGAAATACATTGGCCGTTATCTATTTCTATACTTTTCAAGCTCGCATTATCCAAGCATGGATAAAAATGCTAAGAGACGTAAGAGGTATGCGGAAATGTCACATAGTCAGAAAGCTGACCTGCTCTGTTGCCGTCGAGAACAGAACGCTTCAAAGAAGGCAGCCACTGCTGTGCCTTCTTCTGGTGAAACGATCCATTTTCAAAGGCCTGCCCAGAATACCCGAGATTATTTTAGTAGTACTCCATTAGGCTATACTCAGACTGGTGTTGTTTTGGTTGGTGCTGTGGATAGTTCCCTGCTAGCTTCTTCGTTTTTAAATGACAATAGGGAAAATCTATTCACTACTCAGTCGGAATATGTTACTTCAACTTCTTATCCTATGCCAGCCTCTATTCCGTCGCTACTTTCTCGAGATATACTTATAATTTGCTTCGCCATCAATTTGCTTTGTTTTTGTAGCCTAATTAGAACTCGCTTGTTTGCTATCAGACTTATCTTGTATAGCATACAGCTGCCTGTGCCTTTGCACTCCATGCTTTCCGCCTATTTGTTCTTCGTATCAAACTCCAATTTAAAAGTCATCTTTATGTCATTTGAAAAATTGCCTATTTTTCATTACAAGGAGGAAGCTTTCGTATTCTTATTGTCAGCTATCTAAAAAAAGATTTTCTGTTTGTGTGGGTGTCAACTCTGTTTTATTCTGTATCATGCTTAACTATTGAACCTTGTCACTTTTTAGAAAAAAAAACCTCGCTACTCGCTCTTGCAAAGAACCGGCCTGCCTCTTCCTACTAATCATCGTTCCCGTTAGCCATGTCTGGATACTTCTATCTTCTTTTTGGATCTTTCCAGGTAAGAATCTTCAGCATGTGCCTTCCAGATTATCTCGGCTAGAAAATATTCCGACCTAGTTTGTTATTCTTCCTCCTACTCCAAATTGTGAACACTGTGGTGCCAAACGCTTCCCTTTAGAACCTCCTTCTTTTTGTTGCTCTGAGGGTGAAATCTCTGTTGTTGCTCCTGCTATGCCTTATGCTCTTAAGAGTCTATTCATTGGTAATGATGAGGAATGCGAGCACTTTAGGAAGAACTCCGTACATATAATAATAATGTGGCATTCACATCTTATGTTGGTAAGTATGATCGTGAGCTGACAAAAAATACAAAAGGTTTATACATTTCGAGTCCAGGGCCAGGTGTATCACTTCTTGGATGGTCTAATCTCTCCGTCTGATAAATCGTCGAGGGTTCAGTTATATTTTTTTGACACTGATGAAGAGATCACAAACAGAGTTCAAAATTTTGATAAGCTTCGGCTGACCACCCTCAAGCTGTTAATGACAATCCTGCAACAAAATCCTTATAGAAGGTTTTTTAAAGAACTTAGGGATGTTCAGGCCATTGAGACCCATACTATAATTCTTAGGTGCTATCCTAGGCTAGATCAGCGTGTCTTTAATCTTCCTACTGCCTCTCAAGTTGCCGCTATATGGACCGAGCCAGATGATGAGTTGGTTGAGAAGAGCCCCCACATTCAGGTTTATAGCCATTCTAATGCAAGTTATAGGGTCCAATCATATTATGCCTGTTACGATCCTCTTCAATATCCTCTTCTCTTCCCTAGAGGTGAATCTGGTTGGCATCGTGGGATCAAAAGGGTATTCTCAAAAAGGAAGAAACCTGATACCCATGACCCAGAAGTTCATGTTGATTTTTCTTCTGCCCAGGATCCTTCTATCTTATTCCACTTTGAAGATATAGGCATGTCTATTTCTTATATTTATACACTCTTTCTGCTGTCCTACTCTATATATTTTGTTATAAGATATCGCTCTTTTTCCCCTTTTTAGCTGCTCAGCAAAAGACCTCTCAAGATTATACTGTTTCTGCTAGGGGGTACTATTGTTATCGGCTGCAAATAAGAGACAATGATGATTCTATGTTACTTCATAGTCTGAGATTATTTCAGCAATTTGTTGTTGGTACATATATAAAAATTGAAACATCTAGACTGGATTTTCATAGAAAGCGACAAACTGAAATTAGAACAAAGATCCTTCAAGGGATTCTAGACAGTGTTGCAATAGGCCAAATGCAGGGGTCTAGAGTAGGTCGTCGAATTGTATTGCCGGCTTCATTTATTGGCGGCCCAAGGGACATGAGAAGAAGATATCTTGATGCAATGACCTTGGTTCAAAGGTACGGCAAGCCTGACATATTTCTTACCATGACTTGCAATCCGATGTGGAAAGAAATTCAGTAGAATCTTCAATACCTTGAAAAATCACAGGATAGGCCTGATTTGCTGGCTAGAGTTTTTAGAGCTAAGTTTGAAATGTTAAAGGTTGAGCTCCTTAAGAAATAGATTTTTGGTGAGGTTGCAGCCTGTATCTATGTTATTGAATTCCAAAAGCGAGGCTTTACACATGCCCATTTGCTGCTTATTCTTAAATTAGGCTCCAAACTATTGAATCCTGAATCATATGACAAAATTGTTTGTGCTGAAATACCAGACCCTGAGAAGAATAGGCATTTATATTCCCTGATCATTAAGCATATGATTCATGGCCCCTGTGGTTATAGGGATAAACAGAGCCCGTGCATGAGAGCCGGTAAATGCAAAAATCATTATCCTAAAAATTTTGCTCCTTATACAGTTCATGGTGAGGATAGCTATGCATGTTATAGAAGAAGAGATGATGGCCGAAAAATAAAGGTGCGCAAGCATGAGCTCAACAACCCATGGGTGATACCTTACAGCCCATACTTATTAGCTCTATTTGATTGCCACATCAATGTTGAAATCTGCTCCACTGTTAAGCTTGTTAAGTACCTTTATAAATATATTTTTAAAGGTCATGATCTTATCAGTTTTAATCTTCTTGACCAAGAATCTTCTGGTACCATTGATGAAATTAATTCCTTCCTGCAAGCACGTTGGGTTTCACCTTCGGAAGCTTTGTGGCGCATATATGAATTTCGCCTAACAGAAATGAATCCAACAGTTTATACCCTCCAAGTTCACTTTCTTAACCAACAATTTGTTTCTTTTGATAAAAGTTCAGATTTGTGGTATCTGTTAAGGAAGATTGATTTTTCAAAGGCTATGCTGACTGAGTTTTTCAGAATGAACAAAACCAATGCCACAGCTCAGAATTTGAAATGTTTATATAGAGATTTTCCTCGACACTTTGTGTGGACACCAAAAACAAAGACATGGTCAGAGAGGAGTCGTAGAACGGTCATAGGAAGGCTGGTAACTATCGAATCCAGGGAAGGGGAAAGATACTATTTAAGACTTTTACTCACACATATTCCAAATCCAACGTCACTTGATGACTTACTTATGGTTAGAGGTCATAAAACAGCCTTTTTTAGAGAGGCCTGTTTGGAGCTAGGCTTGCTTGAATCTGATTCTTATATAGAACAAGCATTAGAGGAAGCAGCTCATTTCCAGATGCCTTATTTGTTAAGGTCTTTATTCGCATTGCTTCTTTTCTATTGCTGCCCAAAAGACCCTAAACATCTTTGGCAATCATTCGAAGAACATCTATCTTCTGATTATAAACGAAGTTCATCTCATCGGCATTGCACGCCGATAGAGATCAAAAGAAAAGTTCTTCAAGATATTAATATAACATTGGAGCACATGGGGAAAAACCTCGGTGATTATCATTTCCTTGAAGATTCCTTTGCGTCCTGCCATGGTGAGCATCTCACCAAAGAAATTCACAGTAAAACAACCATACCTATTGATCCAGAGGATCTGCTTCTTGCTCAAAAGTTGAATTCTGGCCAGAGGCATGCATTTGATTTAATTCTGGATTCAGTATCCTGCTCAAAGGGTCAAGCTTTCTTTGTAGATGGTCCAAGTGGAACCGGCAAAACTTTCTTATATCGTGCGCTTCTTGCTTCTCTTCGCTCACAAGGATATGTCGCAATAGCAGTTGCCACATCTGGTGTTGCGGCATCGCTCCTCCCTGGTGGTGGAACTGCACATTCAAGGTTTAAGATCCCTTTGGACTTTTCAAAATAAAAGGCTTGTCAATTAAGTAAACAAAGCAGTGTTGCAAGGCTGATTGTTGATGCTAAATTAATCTTGTGAGATGAAGCTTCGATGGCAAAAAAAGAAGCAATAGAAGCGTTTCATTGTCTTCTTACAGATATAATGGAATCTGATCTGCCCTTTGGAGGAAAAACAATTGTTTTTGGCGATGATTTTTGCCAAACCCTGCCTGTTATTGAACATCTACCTCCACCAGATTTGGTCCAATCAATTCTTTTATGCTCGCATTTATGGTCTCATATGCGTAAACTACAACTAGGAACAAATATGAGAGCTGCCTTAGATCCAGCATTTTCAGCTTTTTTGCTTAGAGTTGGAGAAGGTGTTGAACCTATTGATGAACATGGTCAAATATCTCTGCCATTTCATATGGTTATCCTTATCATAACAAACAAGAATCACTTGACAGGTTATAATCATTTAGTGTGTTATTAGTCGTTCTTTTTGTCCATGTACTTTGATTGCTCCCTCTAATTACATGTACAATCTTCCAAGTTACTTGGGACCATATTTCCTTATCTGAATCTGTACTCATGTGATCCTTACCAAATGATAAATAGATGTGTCCTTTGTCCAAAAAACTGTTCAGTGGATGAAATTAATGAGATGATGATTGCAAAATTCCCTAGATGTCTTCACAGATATATAAGCTATGATAGAACTGTTGATAGGAGATATCAAGTGGATTATCAGGACTTTCTAAATTCTTTGAACCCAAAAGGTCTGCTTCCTCATGAACTCTTGCTCAAAGAAAATTGTGCTATAATGCTCCTCAGAAATGTGAATCCAATAGATGGTCTTTGCAATGGGACCAGATTAATTTGTAGAGAATTGGCTGAGCACACAATTTCTGCTGAAATTGTCTCTGGTCCTCATAGAGGCAAAAAGGTTTTCATCCCAAAAATTCCTTTGCAAACTTCTGACACCGAAAAGAATGGTATTCCATTCATACGGACATAGTTTCCTGTCCGTTTATGCTTCGCAATGACAATCAATAAATCTCAGGGTCAGACTCTTGACTATGTCAGAATTTACCTCCGTGAACCAGTCTTTTCTCACGGCCAGCTTTATGTTGCTCTCTCTAGAGCTAGAAATTCTTCTGTAGTTAAAGTTTTGATTACTCCAGGTACTTCTGATGACGTCAAAACTGATTGTAAAACAAGGAATGTTGTCTTTCACGATATCTTTAAATTCACTAACATATGATATATGAGGTCTGATCAGTCATACCATTGATTACTTATTAGTTTATCATTTACACATTCACACCCTGTTGCTAATTTGCCATTTTCTTTCTATTTTTCCAAAAAAAATGCAGGATACACGATATTATCTCAGTCAAAAACATCCTACCTGGATCTGAGGGTTGGACCTGCAAAGTAACTGTGCAAGAAAAGCAGCAGATAACTGGCTCAACAATGATGCCAAAAAAAAAAGCAAAAACTTATTTTGTTGGATCCAGAGGTCTTCTTTCTGCTACCATTTATATCTACTTGTTCATACTTCATGCCTAAGAACTTCGCTATTAAAAAAAGCACATTAATCTACTCCTTAAATTTCCCTTGTCATTAGAATATCTTATGTTTCTATGAGCAGTTCAATGCATCCATAGCTGCTTACTTTGTGAATCTTTTATATTTTCCTAGGGATCACAAGTAGAGGGAATTATATTCAATAATGATATCCCTAAGATCAGCCCTCGCCTTCAGATTTATAAAAAGTATCTCATTTCAAATGCCATTGTAAGGCTCATTCCAGAAAAATATCAAACTTCTGACCTGAAGATCGAGTGGGTTCTCACCAGCCGAACGGTCATTGAACCAGCCAATGATGATGATGACATTCTCCCTGTGAAGTTTAACTATACAGAATTCAACGATCTTGTCAATTTCATCAATGACAAACAAAAATCAGTTGGTCAGCTTCACCATTGTAATTTTTTCATTTACTCACCAGTTATGTTACTTTTTTCTAATTGCTATTGTATTGTTCTCCATCAGATGTTCTTGGTATAGTTGTTCAGTCACTAGATGTCAAACATATCAACAAAAATGGAAAAGATTCAGTAGTTCAAAAGCTTGTCATTGTTAACAAAGAGTAAGTTTTTCCTTACAAATTTCTTCCTTATTATGTGATGCCTTTCTTTTTTCCTGATTTTGCAAAATTTTATCTTTTCCATGTATTAGTCTACAGCCTGTTGTCTTGTCATTGTGGGATGATTTTGTAACTCACGAAGGCTATCAGTTGACGCATACCATCCAGAATCAGCCTGTTGTTGTTTGTCGCAGGTTAAAAGTTAGCTTTTACAATGGTATGCTATTTAACATTTCTATAGTATGTCTCTTACATTTAAACGCTCAAGTGCTTATTCTCCATATATCTTCTTCTTTTTACCTTTTCCCTGACAACTGCCCATAATTTCCTCCAAGAGTCGCGCTATCTACCTGGTTTGACTTTGTAATTCTTATTGATCCTCCTATAGAAGAAACTGGAAACCTAAAGAAATGGTTACTAAATACTCTTTTTCCTTTGTCCCTTTCTTAAAGATACTCATCATAACCACTTGTAATTATTAATTGATTTCTCTTCTTTTACACAGGGCTAGAAAAAATTCTCAGCTACTTAGTGACCTTGTTACTAACGCAGCTTACATGAAGTTCCATCCTGATGTGCCTCTTAAACCAGATCAGAAAATAACTAAAATTATCCTTTTGAAACCAGCACCAAAGGTAGGACTTCTCTATATTATACAATTTACTGCCATTCTCACATGTATTTATCAAAACTGCTTCTTTTTTCTCTTTCATTGCTAATTTTATGGCAGAGCTCGTGGGTCAAAGTGTTCTTCTCGTTTGAGCACATCTTCCAGAAATTCTGGTACATGGGATGCAAAAAATGCTTCTGCTCTACAACAGCTCCGCACGGAGTCTTTTTTACATGTAATTCATGCAGAGAAAGGCATCCGGCTGAACCAAGGTCTTTGGTCATACAGTCCACCACTTTTAACCGCCTTTTTTTCAGTCTCGCCCGCTTTTTGATACTAGGATTCCTTCTTGCTCATTCTTCGTCATGTGCCTGTATTTCTTTCGCTTACCTTTTGTTAATATATACAGATGTCGCTTCGACATTGATTTGACTGATACAACAGGCACGGTCACTGCTTCCATTTTTGGTGAATTAGCTGAAACTTTGCTTACTTTCACCGCATTTGAAGCAATGGAGCACTTTACTCAGGTTAACATCTACACATATAATAGAGTATATATATTTACATAATTTCTCTTCATGTCTTTTTCTATACTTATAATTCTCATGCTCTCTTTCCTCTATGTTTTAACTACCAAAACATTGAACTTCCCTTAGAAAAAACTCATGCTGAGCTGAAACAGAAGCTTTTCTAGCTCATATTAGACCTGTTCAGTCTCAACTGGCCGATGCAAAGCAACGTTACACAATTATATATTATTGTTAAACTACTGACCACCTGGAATCTGAGTTGCCAGATATCCAAGAAATGCCTGATCATGTTTTAACCTATAATGAAACTGCAAACAGTGCTTCAATTGGTTCAGGTCATATTTTTACATTTGTACATTCTGGCTTTTCGCACTACATATCACAGCTTATTATAATGACACTAATCCCTGTTTCCTTTTTTTAATATTGTAGTGAACGAAGGTTCTTCTTCAAGAGTTAAATCATGCCTTGCTAAAAGATTTGAAAAGTCAGAAGGTGACTGCTCATCTGCATCACCTCTTGAAGCTGCCAATTCGCCTAAGAGAGCCAAATTATCTTAGACATGCATAGCCACTAGCACATTAATCTTGCTGACTTATTATTTTGTTCCTTTTCAACAATGCTGCTTATTTTGTGTTAGCCCGTTACATGTTCAGCCTATCTTTTGACTCTGCTTTTACAGCTTGTTTTTACTACCTCTGTTTCAAAGTAATCTTCTTATATTTCACGCATTGGTAGTTAACTGCTACTTTCATCGTAATTCTATGCATTATCATGCCTATTGCTATATCCTGTTATATTGCCTTAGAATATATGAACTTCATTTACTTAAATTGTGATAGATATAAATCAAACATCCTCGCTTTGAATTAGACAAGGCATTATCTATTCACTCTGTAATATACATTAAATAAAACATCTGGTTTTTCGCCGGCCTTATCTCTATAATGCACACCTTTTTTACCTTTCGCACACAACAAACAAAATCTGCCCCCCCAATAACATAGTCCAATTACTAAATTCCAATTGCCCAATTATATCTACTAAGTTTGTATTATTTCTAAACAAAAAATAAAAAATTATTATTATGCAAATCATATGAGTTAAAAGGGTGTCAATGCATAAATGCAATTTTGCGTAGTGATATTAAATTAAAAATTAGTTTTGCACTGATTATTTACGGAGTTAATAGCTGTGATGCATACATACAAGCAATATCAATCCTCAATTGGCATGCAACTTGCATTTATACGAGTATGACAATGTACTTTGTCACCATGGCCTTTGTATGTCCCAAAATCAACTATCAATTTAACTTTCGAATGTTACAACCAAAGCTTAACATTTTATTATCAAAATTAAGGATGATACTATCTAAAACACATGATTCAGATTAAAATGACAGAACTCCAATAAAAAACAAATATGACAAAGGAATTATGCCATTGCTACTGCTCTTACTTATAGTAAAATTACTTTTCCTTTAATTGTACCTTTATCCACACTATCCTGAAAAAAAATAATTTGTTATATATTTATTGGTGACAGTTTCTAGAATCATATTCTAAACTTAATCTTCACAAAATCCTACTTGACTAAATAAATAAAAATATTATGAGCTCTTAAACAAAAGCAAAAGTGCCAAGACAAAATGTACCAAAAAATTGGCCACAGTGAATTACATAATTATGAAAACCAAGAATTCTAACAAGTTTCTTGGTCTTAATTGCCCA